CTCATCAAAAGACTTCACCAAAAAAGTAAAAAGAGAACCTACAGACTGGGAAAAAAATTTTTGGCTATGACATATCTGACCAAGGTCTAATCTCTAAAAGCTATAAGAAAACCCAACGTCTCTATAATAAAAAGACAAATACTCCAATTAAAAAATGGGCAAAGGATATGAACAGATTCTTCACCAAAGAAGACATTCAGGCTGCTGACAAACACTTGAGGAAATACTTCTGATCACTAGCCATTAGAGAAATGCAAATCAAAACTACAATGAGATATCATCTCACCCCCACATTACTAGCATGAATCGAAGAAAAATAAAACAGAAAATTACAAATGTTGGAGAGGTTGCAGGGAGATTGGAACTCTTATGTACTGCTGGTGGGAATGCAAAATGGTACAACATTTTGGAAAACGATATGGTGCTTCCTTAAAAAGCTAGAAATAGAGATACCATATGATCTAGCAAACCCACTCGTCGGAATATATCCTAGAGAAATAAGAGCCATCACATGAATAGACATATGCACACCCCTGTTCACTGTAGCATTATTCACAATTGCAAAAAGATGGAAACAACCTAAGTGCCCATCAGCAGATGAATGGATAAACAAACTATGGTACACACATACAATGGAATACTATGCAACAATAAAGAACAATGATGAATCCTCAAAACATCTCACAACATGGGTGAATCTGGAGAGCATTATGCTGAGTGAAATAAGTCAATCACAAAAGGACAAATACTGTATGAGACCACTATTATAAAAACACATGAAAATGTTTTTATAATAGTGAAAGAAACAATCTTTGATGGTTACAAGGGAGGTAAGTGGTGGGGAGGGTAAAACACTAACTAGATAGTAGATAAGTGGTAACTTTGGTGAAGGGTAAGAGAGTACACAGTACTCTGGATATCAGCACAACTTGACCAGAGCAAAGTCATAGAAACTTCACAGATACATCCAAATGCCCTGAGAGACCACGCTACTAGGCTGAGGGCTAGGGACCATGGTCTTAGGGGACATCCAGATCAATTGGCTTAACATAGTCTATAAAGAAAATGTTCTATATCTAACTGTGGTGAGTAGCGACTCGGGTCTTAAAAGCCTGCGAGTGGCCATCTAAGATACATCTAATGGTCCCATCCTGGCTGGAGCAAAGGAGAATGAAGAAGACCAAAGACACAACGGAAACATTAGTCCAAAGGATTAATGGACCACAACTACCACAACCTCCACCAGACTGAACCCAGAACAACTAGATGGTGCTTGGTTACAACCACTCACTGTCTTAGCAGAGATCACAATAGAGGGTCCTGGACAGAGCCGGAGAAAAATGCAGAACTAAATTCAAATTCACACACACACACACACACACACACACACGCATGCACAAAAAGACCAGACTTGCCAGTCATACTTTAATATTAGGGCTCTTAATTTTAAATACTGAGGTAAATGGAATGTCATGGTCATGGCTTGACAGAGACTGGAAAAACTCCAAGAGTATGGCCCGCCGACACCCTTTCAACTCAGTACTGAAGTCACTCCTGAGGTCCACCCTTCGGCCAAAGATTAGATAATTCTTGGCCAACAATAACACACGTAGTTCAATCATGTATATGAGACTAATGGGCACACTGGCCACAAAGCAAAGACGAGAAGGGAGGAAGGGACAGGAAAACTGGACGAATGGAAACAGAGAACCTGGGGTGGAGAGGGGAGAGTGTTGACACATCATGGGGTTGGCAACCAATGTCACAAAACAATTTGTGTATCAGCTGTTTAATGAGAAACTAATTTGCTCTGTAAACTTTCACCTAAATCGCATTTAAAAAAATAGTTATAATGGCAACTTCTTTGTTATATATATTTTAACACAATATTTTTTAATTACATAAAATGAAAGAAAACTATCACAATAGAAAAAATTAAAACAACAAGAATCCTAGTGGGTCATCAGATACTAAAGAACGGGGTAGGCTCTTCTTTAACAGACTGCCAACCATACTTTAAAAGGAGGCAGACAGTAGTAATTTTGTCTGAAATTCTAAAGACTAAATCTTTAATCATTGTTGTACATGTGTTATTTCTATTTGATCTGCATTTCCCAAAAGTCTCCCTGAATTCATCCCCTTTAATTCTTGTCAGTTAGACTTGACTTTTCACATTTTTTAATTAAAATGTGAAATACTGAATTGTGGATTTTATTTAAATTCATCATATTTCTGAAAAGTCTTTTAAAGATGTAGTGCAGAAATGATACAATCTCCAACTATGCTTTCATAATATTTTACTAGAAGTGTAACTGCAGAAAGCAAGCAACATGGGTTCCTCGTGTAAAATGGAAGCCTCAGAACATATGCACAGCGTAGAAATGTAGATCTACTTGTACCAAAATATTCCCTGCTATCTGAGATAACCAATGTGCACCGTGGCTCACAGTGTGGACTGCTGAACCTTCCCACTAGCCCCTGATGGTTGGTACCTGTGGTGGGAGAGGGGAGTGATGCTCTTTGCCTCTGTATACCAGCCTTGCCTTGAGACAGCAGACCCAGGAAGCTTTGCTACATGCCCTCCCCAGAATCAAGCTTAAGGGTCCAGAGGTGATTTGGCTGCAACTATGGACAGGTCACAGGGTTTGACACATGAAGTCATTTAATTCCCGAATCAAGCCAATTGAGTTTTATTGTCTAAATTCTCCCTTTACGTATCGTCTTTCATCGTGGAAAGAATTATTTTCTCTACAAATTGTATTAAAGAAATTAAGTTCTTATGAGTATTTCTATAGAGGATATTATGTTCTTCTGATCTATTACTAATAAGATTGTACTATAATTATTTGATTTTTAAATATAACACTAAATTTCAATTAATGTTCAACAGAGGATCAGCCATTTTACTAAGTGGTCTACCAGATACAAATAGATGCATGCATATACTGACAAAATTTTTCATACTAATAAGTTCCTTTTAAAACTCAGAATATATATATTTATTCAAAATTTATGTATTGAACACCTACTAGAGGGTAAAGACAAGATTTGTTACACTGTATCAAAATTGCTTTTTTTTTTTTTTTTTAATCTGGAATGACCATAACATTCCATTTACCTCAGTATTTAAAATTAAGGCCCTAATATTAAAGTATGACTGGCAAGAATACGTGGTTACAGTTGTCCACACCGAAAAAACATTTAAAAATTATTATTAATTATTATGTAAACAGTTGCTACCCTCTACAATTAACTCCCAAAGCTTGCACTGTTTTGTACTGCACTGGTGCTCTGACTGAATCTACTTGACCATCCTCATGTCTTCATCAATACTACACCCCAAACTTTTCCAGAGGAGTGGCTATTTTTCATTTTCCTTGCAGAGAAATGATAATGGTTGTTGAAGGTGCACATTAGGAGAATAACAACCAGTGAGGTTCCCATGCATCTGAAAATATTATACAACTGTCAGGGTAGCAAAAGCCAGCTTCCTAACTGACCACATAGATCTCTGATTTATTGGCACCTAATGATCAACTCTACTGTCAAGGTATCTTAATCTATTGAGTTCAATGATGTATTTTTGATACATTTATAGCCATCTATAGTTATAGCAGCATCAACATTATATTTTGTGACTTGGGTAGCATGTGTGCCTATAAATAACGCAGTCATGTATCTTCTATCCAAATTTTACCATTTGAAATATAAACTATAAGGCTAAAGTTGTATTTTTCTTATGTCTAATGTGAATATAATCCATCTCCTGTGGAACAGATGATAGTGGGAAACAGGAAAGAAAAATGTTCATTCCTGGCTGTGTGTGTGCGTTCAATCTGCTGCCAAAAGTTTGAAAATAGACAGGTCAAAATAAAGAAGTGAGACTGTCCTTACCTATCTGTAATACCACAGGAGTCTATCTGAAGGTCACTGAAGTTCCCAAGGGCTCCCTGCTGAACTGAAATCAGGTCCACCACTTTGTTACTGATAGAAATTAGCCTCATACATCCCTGAAATCCATCAAGTGAACTTTGACATTTGGATCCAAAGCTGTTGTCAGGACAACCTGATTAAAAAACAAAAGCAAAATAAACCTAGGATATATCATCATGACTTGGCATTCAGTATCATATAATGTCTCATTTAAAAAAAGAAGAAGAAGAAATAGCCATTTGGTGATTATCTATATTAAGAGGTGGGGGGAGGGCCCATTGCAGTTATTATTAGTTTGATCGAAATTACAAATTGCAATTCATACCAAGTCTTTCTTTCTTTATTCTCCTAAGAGCCGCAGGAAGTCACAACTGTTATAACAATTATGTGCAAGGATACTAACCTGATCCAAAGGTAAAACTGCATATATATATATATATATATGAGCTCTGGAATCATAATAGTCAAAACATGTTAGCCAGCAATATTAAATGACATATACTTTAAATACAGGAACTTAGTCTTATGGACTGCAAAGCGAGGCACATAAAGGATGAAAATGTGCTCTGTAGTTAAGAAAAGATAGATCAGTAATAGTAAAATACGTTTGTGTTTAAAGTCAGCTATTTGGAAAGGGAGTTATATTGACTTGGAATAAAACTGTCAACTGTTTATTTAATTAAATATTTTATTTTCATATACATGTATTTTAATAAATCATATTGGTTTAATGCCAAAAACATTTTACTATTTGATTTTATTATCTACCTCATAAAAGGATGTCCATTCATATTGATTTTTTTCTAGCATTTATTTAAGACTTGCTTCTAATTATTTAAATAATAAAAAGATATAATATTAATCATTTTTGTCTGGGATTTAATGATGTTCTAAGCATTTCTCTATCTGAGAGATAAATAATTTTATGGAGTATGAACACATATATATAGGAATTTTTAATTAATCTTTCTTTGCTGTTATGGTTGTTAACACTATCACAATTTTAAAAAATAAGAGATCAATCAGCAACTTCTTAATCCCTGCACAATCCATGCTAGTTTTCTACCTGGGAATTTCCATTATAATTAAACGTTTTGACTGAGGACGTTTTCCCTAATGCTTTGTTTTCCTAACAAAATACATTTATATGGCAAGTAAAGGCTAGCATTCATATTTAAAACTAATATCAAGCTCACTGAAATATTGTATCTTCAACTAATGGAGACTTTGGAGTTTCAAATTTAATATATCAAGAAAAAGTGATCAAAGCTTTCTGAGTATCATTTTATTGTACATGGTACTACTCTACACACATTTCAAATACTTAACATCTTCTGTGGGAGAGGATACAGTTCCTGTAATCTTGGTATGTTTTCTAGATGACTTATTAACCAATTAAGAATGCTAGGATAAGGACTGAAGGACAATAGTTCATTAATATTTAGGGGGCAACTATAATATGCCAGGAATATAAACAGCTCTGCTAATCTCCCTTTCTCCAGGTGCTGTTTTCCGACACATTTCAAATTATTGGAGAATAAAATAAATTGTGCAATATGCTTGTTGCGAACAGAACTAAGCAAACCCATAGTCACAAGGAAAGGTCACAGAACTTTACAGAAAGCACATTATTATCATATCATGAGGCTTCATATTCCTTGTTATGATAAAGAGATTCTAAGAAGAAGGATTCAACCTAGGTTAGTCCCATTCGTCTATGAATAGAAGTATTCACAGTCAATGCAATGCAACAGCAGAAGACTTCAGCACGGAACTCTTCTGAAAGTTTTAAAATATGAAGATTTCCAGAGAATACTTAATGTGGAATTAATGGATAGATTCATTACTTGAGGCAGTCAGCAAGTTAAGTATTCTGAGGATGACAGATAAATTATCACTGCATGTCATTGTATCAGAAGTGAGATGCCAGGGTTAGATTTCATTGTGGTGTAGCCAGTTCACTGGATGGATTATGTTTGCTTTACACAAGTGGGTTGGGGGATGTAAGAATTCTGCACACAATTTAATACTCCCAGCTTGTGCTGCACGGTGTGTTATTAAATAGCACAAAGACTCCATAAGGGGAGTTTTGCAGTAAGGAATTAACCTTGCCCAAAGAGAGGTCTGACCTTTGCCCCCGACTTCTGAGACATAGCCTCTAAGCCCCTGGAATGTCCTGCCTGGTTGCAGTGTCTTACTTTACCTGGGGGTTTGGGGCCACACTGGATAGTCTATGACAACATGATTTACGGTGGGTGGGGGGGGCCTTGGTCCATGTGGTATCAGCTCGACTTCTGGAGGGGCAGGAAAATGAAGTCACCCACCAGGTCGTCAACCATGTCTACAGAACTGAGCCCCTAGACTCTAGACATCAAGGCTAGAGTAAGTTTCCGTGGTTGGTAATACTCCATGCATGCTGTCACACATATCATTGCTGGAAGAAACAGCTGCTATCGGCAGGTCTCCACTGGGAGAGGAAGTTCTGTACTTAGTATCTCCAGGACCCTGCCCTATGTGCCTCTTCCACTGGCTGATTTTAATCTTTATCCTTTCACTGTAATAAACCCAATGACTTTCAATGAGTGTAACAGCTTCACTGAGTTTTGTAAGTCCTTCTAGTGAATTATCAAATCTGAGGGTGATCTTAGGCACCCCTGAATTTGCAATTGGTGTCAGAAGTGAGTCCTGAACTCTGCAGATGTCGAATTATAAAGAACATGAAGGGAAGAATAAACCCAAAATTCAGGATAGTGTTTGCTTGGGGAGATCAAGGGATATGATCCTAGGGGGCCAAATGGGATTTCAGAGGTATTGGTAATCTCTTCCTTAAACTGGGTGACATATGCATAACTGTGTGCTTAAAAACAATCATTAGTATTCTTGAAAATGTGTATATATATATATATATATATATACACACACACACACACATAATTTTAAATATATATATAAAACCCGTTGCTGTTGAGTAGAACTGCCCTATAGGGTTTCCAAGGAGCAGCTAGAGGATTCGAACTACCGACCTTTTGGTTAGCAGCCAAGCTCTTAACCACTGTGCTACCAGGGCTGCTATATATATATATATATAATATATATATATGATGTTAACAGTAGAGGAAACTGGGTGTGAGGTATATGGGAAGTCTCTGTACTACTCTATCTGCAACTTTTCCATAAGTCTGAAACTATTCTAAAATTTAAAAAGCTTATTTCAATATAAAAATATGAAAATCGAATGTTTCATAATAAAAACAAATGAAATTACAGTGTACATATGTGAGATATTTCACCATAAAATAATATTACAGTATGAATAAAAACAATCACTACAGAACATTTTCGATACAAAATAGCTGGGTATTGTTAAATCTGAACATGTAGGAAGCAAAATACTTTAAGAATGATGATTCTATTTTCATGATTTATAAACACTTTTATCCAATCTTTTTATGTTGCATCATTTAACAATATACCTTTTTTAAAAAAATCTCTTTTAGTGCTTTTAAATCATTTTCCTTTGAAGTGCAACCTCTTGGTTTAATTGTTTTTTTTTATATATGTCTATAAAGGAATATGTTCCTATGGGTTGCCATAAAATCAATCATATATTCTGAAAAGTTTTATAAACAACCTGGTTCAGAAATGAACAAATCTCAGTAGAGGAAGCAATTATATCTCTTAAGATTGCTGGCATCACACCACCTTTCACAGTAATGATATATGTTGGGCTTTTTGTTTGTTTGTTCATTTGCTTTTTAAGATTACATAAACTGATTCATTGTATGTCAGTTCCTAGAAAAGAATTTGGATTACACTGGTAAGCAATAAAGATTAAGCTACTTCCACCAAATTCAGAAGTGATTCTAGACAGAAGCAACTATTAAAATGCAAAACAACAACCATAAAATAAGAAACAACTAAATCCATAATTAGAAATAAGTCTTATTACTGACAGTTTTACAACTTTGCATTTCTAACAGCAAAGAACATTGTGATGGTTAAGATTGTATGTCAACTTGGCTAGGCCATGATTCTCAGCGTTTTAGCAGTTGTATAATGTTGTGATCACTTCCCTGTTGAAATCTGATATGTGATCACCCCTAGGATGGAATCTACTGAGTGGTACTGGCGGGGGTGGGGCCTGTGGCAGCTCACCGTTCCCTCAGCTTCATCTCTGCCTTCCGCCAGTAATTTTCTGCCTGCTCACGTTGCCAAGGTTTTTGGCTTGTTCCAGACTCAGCAGCTGCCTCTTGCTGTCTCACCTCTGGTTCTTGGGACTTGAGGTAGCAGCTTACCTGTTGATCTTGGAATTTGTCGATCTTCTCAGCCTGCGAGCAAGAGTCTGGTTCACCAACCTGCTGATCTTGGGTTTCCCAGCTCCTGAAGCTACCTGAATCAGGAGAAACCTTGTGGTCTTGTCTGCTGATCTTGGAATTCGATGACCTTCACAGCCTGTGAGCGGGAGCCCCTCTCTCACCTGCTGACCTTGGGTTCACCAGCTTCCGTGGCTCCATAAATTGGGAGAGGCCTCTACCCTGATCCACGGACTTGGGACGTTTCAGCCTCTACAATTGCATGAGCTGTTTCCTTGATATAAATCTCTATATATATATATTTATATGCTTTACTGGTTTTGCTTCTCTAGAAAACCCAGCCTAAGACAAACATTTTATTTTAATTTTCTAGTGAGAAAGATTCATTCCATTTCCAAGGATTCCTTTTCCAGGCTCTTAGTTCAATCAAACATCCACTGGGCAGGCATGTGCTTCATTTGTTTTTGCTCTCTAAGGGAGATGGCCTGGTGTTGAAGGCTGATGCCCTGATTTTATCAAATGTATCCATGCATTATTACTTAGCAATGAGAAGAGGTTGCTACAGCTAATTAAGTTAAATTATTAAACCATTGGCATAATATTGCCCTTATGTATTGGGCAGTGGGAAAGCAATATGGATGGTCTAGATGTGCTAAGAGACATGATCAGGATAATACTGCAATAAAATCAACCCATAAAAGTCAGAAAAAAATCACATAACGACCATTTAACATGAGGAAAATATAACAAGGTTTGAAAATAAGAACCAAAGAGAATAAAACTCAAACCAAACCAAACCCGTGGCCATCGAGTCGATTCCGACTCATAACGACACTATAGGACAGAGGGGAAAAGCCCCATAGGGTTTCCAAGGCTGTAAATCTTTACGGAAGCAAACTGTCACATCTTTCTTCTGAGGAGTGGCTGGTGAGTTCAAACCAGGGACCTTTTGGTTAGCAGCCGAGTGCTGTAACCACTGCGCCACCAGGGCTTCGACTTAAAATCAATCTTACTACAGAAATCATAAACTTAAGTAAGTCTACCTAGTAGAGATGCATTTTAAGTTATGATCTGTTGTCTTGATTAACTCAAAGAAAGTAAGAAATTATTCCTTAGTATTAGCTTTGGCCCTAGAGGCGCAGTGGTTAAGCATTTGGCTACTAACCAAAAGGTCAGCAGTTTGAATCTACCAGCCGCTCCTTAGGAACCCTATTGGGCAGTTCTACTTTGTCCTATAGGGTCGCTATGTGTCAGAATCGACTCGATAGCAATAGGTTTTTACTAATTTTGGAGGAACCCTGGTAGTGCAATGGTTAAGCACTCAGCTGCCAACAGAAAGGCCAACAGAAAGGTCAGCGGTTCAAACCCACCCAGCAGCTTCACGGGAGAAAAGACCTGGCGATCTGCTCCCATAAAGATTACAGCCTAGGAAACCCTATGGGGCAGTTCTACTCTGTCCTACAGGGTCGATATGAGTCAGAATCAACTCGATGGCACACAACAACATTAACATTGGTTCAGTCATGATGACTTCCCCAAGACATAGGGGTAGTAAATGCAGATATGGTTCAACTGCCCACATGGCCTGATCCTCTCCCTTACCTCCAAAATAATAGGTGTCACCTGAGTAAATCTGCTCAGGCCCCAAGGAAGGAGCAACTGAGGCCACCTGGCTGTCCACCATCACACTCAGGTGATTCCTTTTAGCAGATAAGGTGATGGAATGCCACTGCCCATCATTTAATCCAACACCTGAGGGAGATGAAATCAGTTAGAAGCGAGATCTGTGAACAGTGAACGTGATAAGCAGTTGGTTAAAAACAACAGTATATACATCACTCAATCAAGTACAGCATATACATCTATTAATAAAAAGAAAACAAAAAAGAAGAGGAAAGGGAGACAAGTGGGAAATGAGCACCTTCTATGTGGAAAATGGATTACCTTCCTTTCTTAGGGCATTGGGTGGAAAAATATCAAATTCCCACTTCTCTGCCACCAGCTGAACATGCAGCACTTCTTCCTCTGACCCTAACCACCCAGAGTGAGGTCAGATCTCACAACTTAAAGGACAGTCCTCCAAACTGCCAAGCCTACCCAAGACCTCAGATGCCTACGGCAAGTCTGGAGTTTCCACAACACTTCTGACCTCCTAGCTACAAATTCAGGGTTTTCCCACTACCCCGTCAGGGTGCCAGTTGCAAGCTGCACCCCCAGCAGGCTCCCTCACTTCTAACCTGCTGGCTACAAATTTAGGGATTCCCTCTACCTTCTCAAGTTACCAGCCGGAAACTCAGGGGTCTGCAGTCCCACTCACTTCTGACTTGCTGGTTCCCACTACTCCCCTGGGTTCAATCATTCACTAGAACTACTCACAGAACTCAGAGATAGTGCTATATTTACTATTACAGCTTTATTACAGGAAAAAAGATACAAATAAAGAGATGCATAGGACAAGGTCTGGGAGGATTCCCAACACAGAGCTTCCAAGTCCCAAAAAGGACACACTACCCTTCCACGTGCATTGATGTCTTTCACCAACCAGGAAGCCCATGGCGGTTCCATGTCCAGAGCCTTTACTGGGGCCTCATTATGTAGACATGATGGACTGAGTCAGCCTACTTTCCCTGAGGTCAGCTGATACCACAGGTGGTCTCTTGAGCTTGGCTAACCTCGAGTTACCTCATTAGCATACACTTTCAGGTGGGATCTGGAGGCCTATAGATAACAAACGCACCTCAATCATTCAGTAAATTCCAAGGGTTTGGAGTTATCTCACAGGAACCAAGGACAAAGGCCAAATTACTCTAGGTAAAGTTAATGTAAACCCCACAGGCCTCAATAGAGAGAATAAAATTCCAAGGCCTGAATGGCTAAAATCTTCCAATTATTTGACATGGGCTGATTTTCAGCTCCCATCCATGTACTTTAACTTTTAGAAGAAGAGGCTTGGGAAGGAGTACAGATAGTTTCCAAAATTGTGAGTTATACTCAATGAAATGCTTTATCTGCTGTTTTGCACTTCTGTGAGTCATCCTTTATAACAGTCTAGCAGAATATTTGGCAAACTTTATCAAGTCATAACAAAAGTATTAATAAAAGTAGAAAGTTTACAGGTATTAGCAGGCATAAAGTTAGAAGATAAGCAATGTGTAAAACCATATACATAATAATCCTAATTATATTCCTAATTTTTGTATAAAAGCAAGAAGAGACTAAAAGAAAATAACCCTATATTAAAAAAGTAATATTTGAACAAAAGAATTATGGTTATTTTTATTCATTTTTATATTTTTCTGTTTGCTAAAAATAAGTATGTATCATATACCATATATCATTGCTATAATTAAATAATCAAGGTATTGTTACTGCCTCTAAAAACAGTCTCTAGTCCCTCCGGTCTCATAAATCCATGAGGTGGAATATCATGTACATTCCTCTTGAAGGAAATGAAGTCTACAAGGGTCTCTGTTACTGAACACTAAACAACCACACTGCAGAATCTAAGCATAAGCATCTCTATCGTGGATTTACCAGTCAGATTTACATCCAATGAATATTCAATGCTGTATAATTCTACACATCGAGTAAACAAAAAATATAAGCCCTATTAAACCTAAAGGTCATAGGCCTCTTTTCTGGTGCTTTATGCAATTTCTTTTACCCCCAACTATTTTCTACCATGAGCTTTCAGATAGAAAATGCTTTGAAGCTTCTTGAGGCGATTACAGTTCTTTGCCATGGATGTGTTTAGTATAATACAAATTCCAGCTTGGATACTGAAGCTTATTTTTACATTACATCATGAAGCAAAAAATGATTTTCAAACACCTAACTCTGGTTTGGTTAGTAAAAGATAATGGGAAAGACCAGAAAATCGAAACATGAAGAATGTAGGGTAGATACTTTTAGGCACGTTTTCTAAGAGTTGACTCTAAAATGGGCAACTGAAAGGAGTTATGTAATTCCTGATGGTATGAGATTGGACTAAAATAAATCAAATGTCCCAGATTTGTCATCCACTGCTTCCTTTAAGAGGATACATTTACTACAAAAATCCATCTACACAGCTTTGTGTCAAATGTACAGACACTTCTCCCCACTCTCCCAACCCTTCTTGGCACGTCTTCCACCATCTCTTTTCAAAGCTTGGATGTGCCTTAAATACATGACTTCACTTCTGTTACTTCATTCTTGGCTTTCCATTGATCTGGGACAGTGCTTTTCAAACTACCTGTGCTGATGAACATTTTATTTTCTAATCCATTGCAGATTGATGCTTTTGTAAAATATTGTAAAAATGACTTGGTAGGAAAATTAAATAGAAAGTTATATAAAATGCAGACCTACTGACCCTGTGCTTAGACGCCACAGCAATGTCTTGTTGCTGTAACAGTTACTAAGAGCTCTTCTCAATTTCTATATTTATCTTGTCACGGATTAGCAACAAATATTTCACTGAACTAGAGCTAGTCTGGGAACCACACTTTGAGTTGTGCTCATTTAGGCAACTGCAGCAGGATTAAGTCAAAGGCTTAGGGAAGCCTTTGGGATAAAACTGTTAATATGAAAGCCAAGTTAAATTCAGAGAAAACAAACAAACAAAAAGACTTCCAGGACAGCCCACTCTTTAATTTCACACAGTTAAATGCAACTGTCTAACCAGCTAGCTAGCTATGATGTTGTGCCATGGAAACCAGAAGGCTGTTTTCAAGTCTCCTTTGTAATAGATGTCATTTGCCTATGATGAGGAGATTTATTACCTGCCAATGGGATTTATTACACTAAATAATGAAAAATCCCTTTAATTCATTTCACAAAACTCTACATAATGAAAACGGTAATTTATTAATCAGATTCTTTTTTTTGTAAGTATACAGCTCCTTGCCACTTCTAGGTCTGAGAGATGCAAGCCCCCTTCAAAAGCAACACTACTGTGGAAGAAGGAGAAATAGAAGAATTTATATAGAATATAAAATATTCTATAATATTGTATAACTAAACGCTAATTCTACTACACTAACCCCCAACTCATAACTTTTGAGTCTAGGGGAGCAGGCATGCTGTTGGTACGATTCTAATAATAAAAACAATGATAATGATAACAACTTACATAGTCTTCTTGAGCTCTTATTAAAAAGAAGTGCCATACGTTTATGTGCATTGTGTCATTTAATCTTCACGACTACCATTATTCTCATTTTAAATATGGAGAAAAAAAATGAGGTTGAAGGAGGATGAACAAATTACCCAAGGTCGTATTCAGATGGTGAGTTGCAGAGCCAGAACAGAAACCTGAGTCTGACTCAAAACCACATCTTCTCTGCCTGCAGGAGAGGTGGTCATATTATTTTTTGCTTATGTTAAAAATTTGACCTTGAGAAAGACAAAAGCAGTCCCTAACAGTTAGGAACTGGCCCAGCACTACCAGCTAGGCCTTGGTATGGTGAGAAGCTGGCTGGCAGTCAGAGCTAGGACTTGGTCTCCTTTTGAACATAATTAATTTCACAGAACACCAACATCAGACAAGGTCACTCTGTGACTATAATGAAATGAGACAAAAATAAACAAATAAGACAAGACTGCTTCATAATCTTATCCAAAGACAGACAAAGAAAGGCTACTGTGCAAATCACATAAATACCAAACTTCCTTCCCTCTCCTGGATAGTATGAGTGAACTACTGATTCTTTATCATCTTTAGCTCTATTTCACTCTTCCATCCTTCTAGAGAAGATTCACAAAGATTTACCCATTCATAGAATTAGCCTCACTTCCTGACAGCATTTAATCTAGAGCAAATCTTCACTTCCTTAAAATCTCCTCCAAATCAGGTAATGTAACTCTAAATCCTGTAAGTCATCCCTAACATCCTCGTAAGGAGACATTCACTGATGGTTCCCCAGAGTGTGTGTTCTGGTTGACGTGGGCAATAAGCCCAACTTGGTGGGCTATAGGTATGTTCACTGTAGTCTTTGGCTGAGAGCATTGCAACTCCAAATGGAATAATGGAATAATAAATGAAAGTGTTTGCAATCTCAGGTAGGATGGGATTTTGTACCAGAACCTTTCTCTCTCTGTCTGTCTCCCTCTGTGTCTCTTTATTATCCCTCTCAGCTCCGAACCACATAAACACACAAAATACAGGAGGAAAAAGGTTTGTATCTGTTCCCTCAGATATAATCCTCTGGTACCAGCCCTAAATTGCTATGGAAACATACTGCAACAGCATAGCCACCGTCATCCTCTCATAAGATTTTAATAGGCATCCATGTTGTTGTTAGTTGCCATGGAGTTGGCTCCAACTCACGGCGACCCCAGATGGGTGAGATATATAAAGAAAAAATATGCCTGAAGTATACGGTAGGTTCTTTGTAAAGACGCAAAAGGCATTACACATAGGCCATTACTCAAGGAGCAACCCAAGGGTCTTGCCTGTTGTCAAACATCTCTTCCAGTGCTCTGATAAGGTGCCAGACATTTTAAGAGTGTATCCACTAAACAGAATTAAAGATATAGACCATCAGTTAGCTCTTGTCAAGATGAAAATATGGAGGTCATTGGTACCAATCACTTTAGTGGAGAGGAGAAGTTTAAAAGAGTGACAGGTTTATAATCTGAAAGGTAGGAACACTGCAACAGTTAAAGGGAGGATAGGGGAATCAAAACATGGCTGCTCCACTGCCAGGGCCACAGGATTCTCAGATGCCTGGAAAGTGAGCAAAGCAGAAACATCTCAAACAGTGCAATTCTGCCAGACCTGTCCATTGGAGCCAGAGGCTTCTTTATAGCTCTGATTTTTACCTTTAGGCAAAAGCAGCAGCAGAAATGCTAAAATCAGAGCAAAAATCTTAAATTTGACAATGATTTGTTTTAAATAGGGAAATATAACTATTATTCTCTGGGTTCTTCATGCCATCTGATTTTTTTTTCTTTTTTTGACACCTATGAGGACTGACCACATTTTGTGTCATGAAGGATTTTATGTTAATGCTGTTAGCTCCCACCTGGTTGGCTTCCGACTCATGGCAACTCTACGCACAATGAAACTAAATGCTGCCCAGTCCTGTGCCATCTCCATGATCATTTGGGGATTGGACCATTGTGAACCACAGGGTTTTCACTGGCTGATTTTTGGAAGTAGATTGCCAGGCTTTTTTTCCTAGTCTTTCCTAGTCTGGAAGCACTGATGAAACCTGTTCAGCATCATAACAACATGCAAGCCTCTAGTGACAGATGGGTGATGGCTGTGCCTGAGGTACGTTGGCTGAAAATTGAACTCAGGTCTCCAGCATGGAAGGCGAGAATTCTACCACTGAAATACCAATGCTTCACAAGGGATTTTACAACAGGATCAGTATGTTTTATAATTTAGAATAATATAACATTTTAAATATTTCAAAAGTGATGTAGTTTCACATAATATTTTTGAATAATTCAACATGACAATTTGCAAAACTGTGCATCACACTAAAAATGTAGCCTGATAATTCAAACATTTGCACAATTCAATTCTTTCTCAACACAGTTAATCTTGATTTCATCGTAAAAGATATAAAAATATTGAGTTTTTAAAACATTTCAGATTGGTAATATATACCTCTCGTACCTAAGAAAAATTAAGCCTTCCTTAGGTAATGGAAAGATTTAGTATATGATAATGATTAGTGAGTAAGCACTCAATTCTCTTTAGAGAGTCATTATGATACATTCTGGCAACCGATTTAATACTGAACATTGTACTCATGAAACGTAAGTGAAAAGTCTTTCTTTGCCCATGGAAGAACAAACTGACCATCCATCCACCTACCATTTAAGTAGTCTATTTTCAAATGAAAAATGTATTTGCTTCACTGAAACTAGCAAAAATTAATATTTTAAAAGAACTTGGAAAAATGAGGGGTGGGGGAACTAGTACGTAAAGGCACACTTCTGTTATCTGAAATGTAAAAACTTCACTATACTGGTATTCATATGTAGTCCAGGGTCCTTATTATTTGCTATGGAAATAATCACATTAAGTCATACGATGTCATGATGGATTATATTGTATGTGGATTTAAACATTAGGGGATATTTTTTACAGTTTTACACCTAGTAATTTATTAAATATGCATGCCTGCAAAGTCGTTCAAAATGAACTAGCCTCATAGGGCTCTCATTGTACTGAAGCAGTTTCTTTAAGATATTGAAAATTAAGCTATGAATATAACCACTTCAGAGGATGCCAAATACATCACAATAAACTACACATTAATGGCAAGCTTACATTTTTAGACCGTAGTTTTAGGGAGCCTATTAATTATTAATATGACACTTGATTAATTTATTTCCTCACCAGCCTGCAAATCTATCACATTTTGAGCATTACATAAAAAGTCACAGCATAGTACTTAGAAAAATGATAATACTGAATTTTCAGCTCTTACTTTTAATCTGCAGTGATATATGAACAACAAAAATACATAAAAAATAAGCTTTTGTGTCTTAACTTGTATACTTGTTCTTCTTATATTTAGTTTCTAAGCATATTTTAACTTTTTCCCCCCTTTCAGTCATAGTCTTATGAATTTTGGTCATAGTTAACATAGAGAGAGTAGTTACAATGGCATTTTTAAATTGTTTTTAAAGATCATTTATTAAATTAATGGAACAATTTATCCCAATGGGACCTCTAGTTGTTTGGCTTTGATGTTATTCTATGTATGGGAAAGTGTGATGGAGATCCCTTGTCAAGAGCTATCTAATTTTAATGAAGAGGCAAAAATATCCCTCATCCAAAGCACTGACCTAAATTGGACATTAATTTCCCAGACACTAATATAGTCACCTTAATTATATTACTTGAAATCATTAAAACAATACCATGCATAGCCTAGAAGT